CGTCAAAAATTTGCTGTTGTAACGAATATTCTCAGTGCGTGTGAATAGCCCATGCTGAATAGTTACATCGGAATGGGGAACTGTCTACCTGTATTGTTCCCCTCAATGCGTCATTCCGATGATCAGTCACAACTTGACGACATCACTGCTCAGCATTCATCCAATGTGCAACCTAGACAACCGGTAGCTTTTAAACCGCATGCTTAACAGGAAATCCATTCTCCAGTGCGAAATCTGGCCAGCTTTGATCATTTATCTATGGTGATACTATCAGTGATGACATTGATAGAATCGCAAAAAAATGGGTGGAAGCAAAATATCAGCCACCACGTTTCCGATCACGTAGCCACCTTAATGATTTAGCATTACTGCGGATATAGTGAAGGTTGCAGTCAGCTCAAGATTGTGCATACATGCTGAGGGGATTCGCTGACAGCCCAGAACCTTTGTGCTGGCCAAATATATCTGTAATCGAAGTTAGAATTTGATGAAGACAGATGATTCCCAGCGCTGTTATTGATAGCTGCACGGAAATGAGGATGTCAAGGAAGGAAGAATGTGATATTGGTGGTAACAGAAAAAATAAACTCATGATTTACAGGTGCAAAGTTCTTATGTGAACGAATTATGGGCCCAGGAGAATAGGCGAAGCTTACAGGCAGCTGAGGCAAACAATGAACGTGGTATCGCGCAAACGGGTAAAGCGAGGTTGTCGGGAATGCTCGAGCAAATTCCTGCGGATAAATACGCGAGCGGTACAAAAGGAGACGCTGAGTGAGTTCTCGATAATCACTCACTTCTTCCAAAGAAATTCTCCGTCAATTCCAGTCTGAATTGAGGGATTGAAGTGGCTATTAGTTGGATTATTCGGGAAATTTGTTGTGCATATCGGATTTCGCTTTCTGCTTTCGTCTTCTCGAGAAGTAACAAAGGATATCTGAATGTGAATGCAAAGTTCAAATCCAAATTTTTTGAAATCAAATTTAAGGTTTCCGAATCAGAGAAATTGAATGATTCAATATCGTTTATCGGGTGTGTTTCAGGTGTGCGATTTGTATGATAGAATTTGTGGACGGGGATGCGATACGTTACTTGCCTTGTATGCATTGTTATCATGTGGACTGTGTGGACGATTGGTTGATGCGTTCATTTAAGTGTCCGTCTTGTCTTGAGCCAGTCGATTCGGCGATACTCTCCTCGTTCACAGCACACACAACCACTGATCTCCACTCACTGTCCTGTTCCCCGGCAACCCAAGGACCAATCCAGAGATCGCCGCCACCGCCTCCATCTTCATGATTTAATTGATTACGCACTCATTATTGAGCAAGCCGTTCCCTAATCCAGGCGGATTTGAACTCGATCGGATGGATATTTTCCCCAATTCATGACTGCAAAAACTGAGTGGTTTAAGATTTTCACCATTTTGCCAAACTTGATGAATTTGTTTCGATAGTTTTTGGCTAAACACAAAATTTCTTAATCGTTCGCTCAGGAACAGATCTGCGGTCTTACTCAAATGAATAGCTCGAAATGCGTGCGAGCATTCAGATGACAAGAGTGGGGATAATGTTTAGCTTGTCTTCAATTTCGTTCTTCCTTCAGAAGTAATCATCNGATCAACGACACACTTCGTATGATATTCAATTTTGTGTTCTGTTTATTGTTCACACATTGGTTCAGTTCATCAGTTTTTATTTGATACCCATTCAATTCATTCAGTTTTAATTTTCAGTTTCTCTTGAGCATAATTCCCTCGAGTGCACACTATCAGTTCTCACATCAGCTATCGTATTCTAATCAGTTTTCAGTTTTTTTTTTGTTTTCTTTTCATCCACTTCATTCGGTTGCTTGAAATCTTGTCAGGGCCTCAATTGACTGCCCTCTAAACCTTTCTTTAGTCATCACAACTAAGTTGATATTAATTTGGTCATTGTTCCATCCTTTAATCAGATGTTTTTAAATGTAATTATCTCGGCTGACTTGTATTGTGAATTTGTTTTGTACTTCAAAATGATGCCTTCATTTGATTGAGATGAGCGAATTTCTTGTCTGTTATGAATCTTTCATTTGCATCGTATTAATGTGCTTGTTGCTATTATCAGCGCTGTTATTGTATTCATTACGGTTGAGATTATTCAATTATTATCATTATTTTTTCGATTACTGACGTTCTATTATTATTGGTTTACCATTGTCCCGTCGTGATTATCAATATTATCGAGATGAAGCAAGGATGTAACCAATAATTGTCAGCTTTAGATTTGGTCCGATTGAACTCAATATTTCTGTTAATAATTGAGGTATTACTCAAATAGTATTATAATAATGATAATAATACTCACGCAGTCTATCTTTCCATCTGGATCTGATGAAAACGATAACTATGAAAAATGAAATTGTTATATAATTGTTCAGTTTGTCTATTCTTAAGTCGAATAATCTGGTGTTTTTTTTGTCAAATAATTTTCTGTTTCATGTTCCATTCGTATTGCACACATTGAATTCACTCATTTTTTGCTTGCCTTTGTTTCGGCAGCTATTTTTTTAAAAAGTTTTCTTTTTCTTTGTACATGTTATATTCTACTATTGATGTAGATAGACGGATATAATAAATACAAATTTCTTTTACGCTTCATTTGATGTGTAAATTTGGATTTATTTCGACTTTATTCAATTGCTCATTTGTATTGGTTAGGAGAGGAGAAATTCACGATGTTACGTATCTTAGGAGGTTTGAGGAGCTTTTCTTAATAACTGAGAAATGCGTAATTTTGGTGAGACAGTGAACACTTTGTGGGAATTGTTTTTGAGAAGCCTTAAGATGAGCTTTAAGCGGAGATGCTAGTTATAGTTTGGTAATTTGTTGAGGCAATGGAGAACAGACACATCAATTGGACCAGTCCCCCTCGTCGAATCTTAAGGGTTATAGAGTAGATCTGTAGACTACAGTTGTAGAATCTCCCACTTGACTTCATTCAAATGCAGTATCAAGATCGTCGTCGTTCGTGTGCACTATCCGTTGTAAAAATCTTTTATCGTCCAGTATCTTTTCATATCAGTCAGTGAATTACATGAAGTAATTGCTTTGTGGCCCAATTTCTCATGAACTCTTTAACTTGGCTATCATGTAATATTCTCCTTATGCTTACGATATGCAATTATAAATCATCTGTGAATACTTTACTTTCAAAACCTGTTCCATTTTCATTATTCGTCGTGTTTGTGTGCGATTCCGAATGCATTCAGCTGTATTGTGATTATTCAACCTATGCGACAACATTTTCCAGAAAAGCAAAAATTGCTCTGCTCTTTAGTCATTGGATTTCGTTATTTCGTTATTTCATGATTGCATCTTTTCTTTGTGTTCCAAATACATTTCTATTGATCGTGAGCATTTTCGTTTACCAGTTCATTTTTCATGTGTTGTTTCATTCAGATATTCTCTGCTTTCTTATAAATCGTATAAAATTTTCAAATGTATTAAAATTTCTCCTCTACACTTAATTGTAAGTTGATGTGATAGAATCAAAGCGTTATTGTAGATTTCGCTTATCTTTTTATACAGATAATCATTATTTATGACGATTTAAGATTAAGGCTATTCCTATGATATTTGTGTAGACTTCACTTTATACAAAGTATCTGAGGTAGTAGGTCAAATTAAATGCCTGATAAGTTGTTCATCAAATTAAATATCATTATTGAAATGAATGAAGATACGGCATTCGAAGGGACAGTGTGCAGAAATTAATAACCTCGACATCCTTTCCAGAAGATTACCCACTCAATCAAGTTGACATTTTCAGATCTGTTTAATCCGAAAGTCCGACAACGTAAAAAAAGGATTCCGCGAGCAATCATTAGTATTATTAGACGGAGTGCCTTCTGGAATCAA